TTAATGTAAACGTCAACGGCGAATGGGCGAGTCATATAGTTAATAAAGGAATCCATTGGCTTAGCATTACAGGCACTTGCGTGTCTCTAAACTTTGTTGAGATGAAACTTCGTCAAGTGTAAAAAAAGAATATAAACAACATTATTAGAAATTGAAAGAGGGCAGTATATTTTTACGATATTTTGTGGACTAATGTCATAAAATGTGTTATATTTATAAAACCTTTATATGCAGGATAAATTTAAAACAAAGTTACATTACAATAAAACATGTTGGTTAAACATAGATCAACCCTTTTAGGACTATACGGATTGTAGGCATAATTTTAATTATATATGCACACATTTGGTAGTAAAATGACACGTAGATTTCAAGAATGTTAATGTTTTATTGGTATCTTTAATAGTTTTTGAGATACAGCATGGTAAAAATTGCGTATACATAAATAGAAAAAGTGTGTAGTTGATATCTATTACTTTGTAAAAATTTACTTATTTAGCAATTATTAAAACTAATCGCAACTCCCAAACACAGTTTTCTATTGTTTGTATTATTATGTTATTCAATTATTTTAATTGTTACCAACCATTTTTTCTTTTCTCGTTTTCCCAAAATTATCTTTTACATTTTTCGTATATGTGCAACCATAAATGAGCGCACGACAACCCTCGTTTATTACTCTCATATCCATAACTGAAAGTGGTCAATTCGGTATTTATTTAATTTGAGTGCTTCAGACATGTAATTTACAGCGTCAGTTTACCTTACCATGTTCGCTTTAGTTTTCAACATTAAGACTGCAGCTTTGCGAATTATTTACCAGGCAATGGAGTAGAGATCACAGGAATAAATCAGTAATATACTTTATTTGAATGCAGATGGCTTTCGACACTTCGGTATAATGGATCAGCTTGTCAAAGAAATAGAATAGTCTTACCCGCAATTAAAGTGTAGACGTTCGCATTAAAAAAAAAAAAAAAAAAAAACAATCATAAAATATGAATAACAAGGACCATCTATTGTCGCTATTCCTGTTCTTTCTTGTGTAGAGTTTTGCATAAAAACAGATTAAGATAAAAATAAGACGGTCCATCAGAATCTATTGTCGCTATTCCTGTTCCTTCTTGTGTAGAGTTTCGCATAAAAACAGATTAAGATAAAAATAAGACGGTCCATCTATTGTCGCTATTCCTGTTCCTTCTTGTGTAGAGTTTTGCATAAAAACAGATTAAGATAAAAATAAGACGGTCCATCTAATGTAGCTATTCCTGTTCCTTCTTGTGTAGAGTTTTGTATAAAAACAGATTAAGATAAAAATAAGACTATTGTCACTACTATAGTTCCATCTTGCCATTGATTAGATTATAAGGATTACCACAGAGAAAAAATGAAAGTATATATCGCTGGCTATCTGGTGACAAAGTGATGACCTAGACTTGGTAGAATATTTCGCTCTTATCTCACCCAAGAAACAACAAATACAAGAGGAAAAAAATAAGACTGTCAAGAAATATATAGGCGCGTTCATAGAGAGAAAAGCAAAAACCTATAGGTAACTGAAAACAAGTAATTAAAAAAAGTCTAGTGACAATTTTAGCGCAATTTCCTTATGTTATCTGCGTAAATCAAGAGCAGGGTTAGTAAAACCATTGGTTAGTTATTAAAACGTTTTTTATAAAAAACAATTTCAGTATTTTACATGTTTTATTTACAATAGAGTAACATGACTAAAAACCACTGCGCGCCTAGCTACCGATCGTGATGTCGCAGCCATTGAACGTGATGGCGCAGCTATTGAACGTGATGACGCGTGTGGTGTGGTTGCATAAAATGCCTATTAATTCGGTCCAAATTTTAATTAATTCAAAAAAAAATTTGTGACCAAACGAAAGGATATTTTTGAAAACTTTCTTCGGCAATGTTGTTTTAAATTATGGCAGGAATCGATTGGTACATGTTTCAAGTCGCTAAGTGGTCTGGTTGCCGAGATATGGGCCAAAAACTGCATTTTTTCGAGGTTTTTTGGCTTTTCTGGGAAATCCATGAAAGAAACCCGGAATTTTTATGGCCTATGTTCATCCTCGTAACTTGCTTAACATAATTGTTTTTGTAACTAGTCATCGATATTGCTTCGTTGAGGAGGAGATACGACTTAAAGCTGCGGACACACATCCATACATTCATCCATCCATCCATCCAGAAATGACGGGTTAATAAACGCATTTCTCCAGAATGGAAATTGCGCTAAAAACCTATAGGTAACTGAAAACAAGTAATTAAAAAAAGTCTAGTGACAATTTTAGCGCAATTTCCTTATGTTATCTGCGTAAATCAAGAGCAGGGTTAGTAAAACCATTGGTTAGTTATTAAAACGTTTTTTATAAAAAACAATTTCAGTATTTTACATGTTTTATTTACAATAGAGTAACATGACTAAAAACCACTGCGCGCCTAGCTACCGATCGTGATGTCGCAGCCATTGAACGTGATGGCGCAGCTATTGAACGTGATGACGCGTGTGGTGTGGTTGCATAAAATGCCTATTAATTCGGTCCAAATTTTAATTAATTCAAAAAAAAATTTGTGACCAAACGAAAGGATATTTTTGAAAACTTTCTTCGGCAATGTTGTTTTAAATTATGGCAGGAATCGATTGGTACATGTTTCAAGTCGCTAAGTGGTCTGGTTGCCGAGATATGGGCCAAAAACTGCATTTTTTCGAGGTTTTTTGGCTTTTCTGGGAAATCCATGAAAGAAACCCGGAATTTTTATGGCCTATGTTCATCCTCGTAACTTGCTTAACATAATTGTTTTTGTAACTAGTCATCGATATTGCTTCGTTGAGGAGGAGATACGACTTAAAGCTGCGGACACACATCCATACATTCATCCATCCATCCATCCAGAAATGACGGGTTAATAAACGCATTTCTCCAGAATGGAAATTGCGCTAAAAACCTATAGGTAACTGAAAACAAGTAATTAAAAAAAGTCTAGTGACAATTTTAGCGCAATTTCCTTATGTTATCTGCGTAAATCAAGAGCAGGGTTAGTAAAACCATTGGTTAGTTATTAAAACGTTTTTTATAAAAAACAATTTCAGTATTTTACATGTTTTATTTACAATAGAGTAACATGACTAAAAACCACTGCGCGCCTAGCTACCGATCGTGATGTCGCAGCCATTGAACGTGATGGCGCAGCTATTGAACGTGATGACGCGTGTGGTGTGGTTGCATAAAATGCCTATTAATTCGGTCCAAATTTTAATTAATTCAAAAAAAAATTTGTGACCAAACGAAAGGATATTTTTGAAAACTTTCTTCGGCAATGTTGTTTTAAATTATGGCAGGAATCGATTGGTACATGTTTCAAGTCGCTAAGTGGTCTGGTTGCCGAGATATGGGCCAAAAACTGCATTTTTTCGAGGTTTTTTGGCTTTTCTGGGAAATCCATGAAAGAAACCCGGAATTTTTATGGCCTATGTTCATCCTCGTAACTTGCTTAACATAATTGTTTTTGTAACTAGTCATCGATATTGCTTCGTTGAGGAGGAGATACGACTTAAAGCTGCGGACACACATCCATACATTCATCCATCCATCCATCCAGAAATGACGGGTTAATAAACGCATTTCTCCAGAATGGAAATTGCGCTAAAAAGTTGTCCTCTTTATATCTTAAAGATACAGACATCGAAAAAGTAAAATATTTCACGAACAAGGCAGCTTAAAAGGTAAAATATAGCTCGGAAATGTGCAGAAAAAATTCTGAATCGACAAGTCAAGAGCAGATTTAAGCCGTATAAAAAAGTCTTTAGTTAGGGAAAAATTACTAAAGTTAAAATTAAAATGATCAATGAACATTTGCATAGAGCAATAGCTTGGAGATCTATTTAAAAAACGTAATGTATGCCTGAACAAGGCATTTGATGTGTACTCGGCTGAAAAACAAATTGGACATAAAAGAACAACAATAGCGGTGCATAATATAAAGGGCCTACATTGATTAAAGGGGAGCTGTAAATTACTTGTTATTATTATTCCAATGGTTTAGTCCCTCTTTGAACAAGTTCTAGGAGCGACTTTCTGGAATAAAGTCACCATTGAAATAATGGGAGACATAATTTAGAGAAGGATATCTATAAGACGAACTAACTTTTAGAAAATGTAGAGAGAAAGGCTAATTGTGGCCACACTCCAAATAAAATAAGTACGCTCACAACCTATCCTCCCCAAAAGGCAGAGCAACCCGCTACCTCCTATTCTTTAACCAAATAGAAAACGGAGATGGTATCGTTGATAGTTTATCGTTTAAAATCCTAGAGCGATAGACTGCAAACTGGAAAGTCGTTCGAATCCGCGTTAAATTCAGTACAACGCCCCTGAGTCCGCCCAACACTGATGGGTACCTAACTCACGTTAGGGAAAGTATAGACAGCTCGGCATAGTGTAGACCAAACTATCCCGAGTTTACTAAAACAGGTGAATTCATCTTGACTTATCATATGGACCGTCAAAGAAAGTTTTGATAGTTTCAAATATATTACTAAAAGTACAAAACTTTATAAATTAAACTAATTAGGTTTTAACATTTTTTTTAAAGTATGCATGTCTATATACACTAATGAATACACATATGTATTTGATTGAACTATTATAAAACAACACTCCTGAAAATCAATAGAAAGTTGAACGAATCCAGTACATTTTAACAACATACTATGTTTAAAGGAAACGGAGGTTTAAATGTTAGTCATTTAACATTATCTAACATTATTTTTCTTTAAATTGTATATTATATTCATTTTTTTCTTTTTACGATACAATTTTACAGTTAAATTTAAGAAAGTTTGTAGATTCCCTTAACCAAATGAATATTTTAAAGTGAATTAGAATTTTAATAAGCAAAGGAGAAATCAAAATTGTAAAGTTACGTCCGTAGATCGAGGTTTAGCCAAAGATAAAATATTAAGATAAGAAATAAGTCTAGTTACTCACCATTGGTTAAGATGCCACTCACAAATATCAAAGCCGTCACTAAAATAGCAGACATTATAGAGTTGTGTAATACAGAGATTTGAATGACACCACAACACCGGACAACATCGTATGCTGCAGAACTTCACGTCGACTTTAATTTATACATACAATCTTGGCGAACATAAAACTCTGGTCTAAAATTATTGAGGTTTTCTTTACCTCTAAATCAAAGAACTCTTTGTAGCTATTTTTGTTTTGGCTATCTCCCACGTTTCCAGTGCCAGACAGTGATTCTCACTTTATTGTTCGTTAAAGTTATATTGCAGCTAAATATTTTTACTAACAGAAGTTTGTTGTCAATTATATATATATATATATATATATATATATATATATATATATATATATATATATATATATATATATATATATATACATATATATATATGTACATATATATATATATATATATATATGTACATATATATACATATATATACATATATATATATATATATATATATATATATATATATATATGTATATATATATATATATATATATATATATATATATATATATGTGTGTGTGTGTGTGTGTATATATATATATATATATATATATATATATATATATATATATATATATATATATATATATATATATCTTGTTTATAAATGTATACATAAATACGTGTGTATATACATGAATTTAGTGATATACCGATACATAATAATTTTTGACGACCGTTTGATAGTTGCAGAATACTTTTAGAAAATCAGCCAATACATTAAACTTTACATGTGCGACACAGTTGTCAAACACAACTACTACTGAAAACTTTTAGCGCCCCACTAAACTCCAACACCTAGGTTATAGAACACCTTTGTACTTGAAAAGCTTGATGTTTTAATCAACTGGACGGTATCTTTCATTTAGCAGCCTCAGTCTCCAACTCCCCCACCAATCCTTTTACGTTGGTCTCTTACATGTCATATAGTTGCATTTTTGACGAAATAATGTGCATAGTAAAAAGTCTCAAATTAAATCACAATTTTTTTGTTAATCGTTACGCTAGGGTGACGGTCCGCGATGCAGGCGTAGTAGAGTTAACCTATTTGAATAATCTCTGTCTATAAAGTGGGATTAGTCAGGTACTCACCAGTGTTGGGTGTACTCAATGATGTTCTAATGACATGAAGCTGTGATTTAAACTGGAGGTTATCGTGTATGTAGTCGTGTGCTTTACCATACCGGTAAACTACGCCGCCCCTCTTTATTTTAATGTTGTGTACTGACAATAATCTTGAGGCGGAAAACTATGTTAGATCTGGGTGTTTTCCTTTATCCGTTAAGACTTCCTTTACTCAGATTTTATACTAAAGTAAAAATACACACAAGCGAAAAGATGATGGACCATGACAATAAAAAATGTTTGCTCTTTAGGTATGCATTTATATTTCACTGCATACAAATTTCAAAAATTATAAAATATGTTGTAACTTTTGGAGAAAATTTTAGAATATCAAAAATTAATTCGCAAAGATATTTTTAAAATGTATTACCGACATTCAAAACTAAGAAAAAAATTATCTTAAATACGCAAGCAACAACTGAAAGCGCTCTTTTCTAGAATACAAACACTAGTTGTTTAAGAAGCCTTGCAGATGATGTCAAGTAGATTACAAAAACAAAAATTCCTTGTTGCCAATTGTATACTTATAAATAAAACTTTACCTTTGGCCACGCTTAGTCTGCAGGGTGGTAAATTTATCAGCAGACTTTTCTGACCCAAAAGATATAGTGAATAAACAGCTTACACAGAATACAGGATGCAGTTTTAAGATTTTTTTTCTGTAACTTTCTTTATCTTCAGTGAATATATAATGTTGGCATTATATGTAAAAGAAAAAACGACAACAACCTTGGCCTAAATGCACCAAAATATTAAAAACTGAAGGGGAAAAGAACTGACATGATAATTTGTTTACATTTAAATGTATGTTTAGTTTATCATACATTGAGCACTATATTGTCCAATATAGCCCAAAGGGAGACCATTAATATATTACTTGCGGCTATAATTTTTTTAAGCGTGTATGCCAATTGTAAGTATTTTGACAAACTTTCTTGTACAAATTATTTTCAAATCAATAAATAATTTCTTGATTGTTGAATTGAATTTAAACGTTACTTTGCAAAAATATTATATTCTTCTAATATGTATATGTGAAGCACTTTAGTCTATCTGATTATCAATTTTAGATAAATGCACAAAAATAACTAAGATTACTAGGAAGCAAATAATCATATAGAACAGGGGTCGGCAACCTGCGGCCGCGAGCCGCATGCGGCTCTTTTGATATCAAGATGCGGCTCTACAGTTCCTTGAACAAATACTAATACTCTTAATAAAAAAGTAAAATATTTGAAATAAAGAAAATGTTAGTGGCTCTTTAAAACCAGGGAAATTTTGAAAATTGTAACTTTTGGCTCTTCCGCTTCAAAAGGTTGCCGACCCCTGATTTAGAATAACAAAATTATGTTGTTAAAATATATATATATATCTTTTACTACACTGTGATGATGTTGTTAAATTTTGGATCCCATTAAAAAAATCAGTGACTTTGGATTAATTTCATCTCTACTTATTTAAACTCGTGTGTATTTCCATTTGGAACCTTGTGTGTGTTATTTTTTTTTCCTTCACATTTTATACATTGTAAGTACTTTTTTTCTGTTTTATTTCTTGTGTGTTGCCTGGCCCCGGATGGGCCTCACGCACAACTATGTCGGAAAAATACATCAAACGGCTATTCCTGCCTAAGTTTGGCATGGCAGGACATGCACCAAAAACTCTAGAGATTTTCATAGAAGAGGGTTTTTCTTTAGCTACACTCACAGCTGACGAACTAAAAAGAGAGCTATGTATGTTATGTAGCCTATCACCAGCTGAATTTGAAGGTCTGTATAACTATGGGACACTGCGTAAATGGTATGTCACCATTAGATCAAAGGAACTTTATGAGAAAATGCACCTAAAAGAATTTCACAGAGATTTGCCACCTGGGGTAACATCCAGATACAGAGTGCAGAGAATATCAATAACCCACGCCGATAAATCTGGGCAAAGGGGCATGCTGAAATGGCTGCCTTCCAAGACAAGCGACGATGATATAATGGCGATTCTTAAATCTATAAGCAGTCAGGACTCAACACCAACATTTAAGAGAATAGACCAATCAAATGTGGTCCAATTCACCATCTCTCTGGAGAAAGAAGATGTGGAGAGTGTGCCACACTATATTATACTTACAAATGAGGCCAACAAGGAGAGCAGAGTCCTTATAATCCTCAATGGGAGGAGAGTGCAATGTTGCCACTGCAACACAGACAGACACCTGCCTAAAATGTGTGAGCATTTGAGGACTCGCGCTCTTGACGGCGTCCAGCTAGTAGATGGACAGTACAGGGCAATTGAGCCTTGGGATGCAAATGATAAAGAAGAAGTTAGGGAGCATCTAAGTAACAATAGAAATTTCTTAAAGCATTGGGACAGTTATGATGTTGACGGAGAAAGACAAAATGAAATGCTTAGAGAAGCAAGGCATAGAGAGGTAGAAGATGCCTTTGGAGTAGATGGCCAAACTGAAGCACATCATACTACTGCAGCATCACAGCAAGTTAAGGAAAGAGTAACAGAAACCACCATAGAGGCCGAAGCCATGGAGACAATAGCGATCAGAAATTCCATAGTAACAGGGTCTCAAAAAGATGGGAATCAAGAAAATTTGGAGGCTGTCGACGAAACAATAAATGATATTCTTCAAGATAACACTAGTTCAGAAAACATAACGAAACCGCTAAAGAAAATTAAAAGCTCACAAAGTATATCAGCAACAAAGGTATCAGGTCAACTGTCATATAGTCAAGCAATCAGTTCAAGTAAAAGTCAATTACCTACAGTAAAGCCACCTCAAAGGGTCGTGACCAGGGCCCAACGGGATAGCAAACCAGCGGCTGGAAAGTTTGGCGCTAAAAGACCACCACCATCCAGCCCTCCAGAAACACATGTTCGAAAGAAAACCCCAAATAATTCATGCTAACTCTGGCAACATTGAACATCAGGGGGGCTAGGGACAAACACATTATATAAACAACATAATAAATAAACACAATATTGACATCCTACTTTTACAGGAAACTAACATTTGAACTACAGAAGAAGCAAATAAACTAGATGCATAATTAATATCGACAGTCTCAAGCTAAACATCACTCGATCAGCCCTCAAGTAAATTAACATTTTAGAACAGTCTTCTGTTTCCCAGGTTTTTAAAAGTGCACAACCTGAATGGTAGAAAGAGATACACACCTCACCCCCCCCCCCCCCCCTCTCTCTCTCTCACACACACACACACTTCCCCCTACTCAACCGGACTGGCGGATTTTTCAAGGTAGCGTGACCTCTTTGCCAAGGGTCAATTTTATGTCATGGAAAGTTTTGGAATGATGGATCAGTATGTGTACTGCAGAGACACTTCTCCCGAGGTCGTTTCTATTTCTGTCCATGGGCGGCTACAATGTGAACTTTTGACTCCTCAGCTAAGGACAAAGCACAGTAAACTAAGCAGTCAAGAGAAACCTAGTTTGCACACCTTATTTTAGTCTAGTTCTTATGCCATTTTATTTTCTCCATTTGATTATTATATATGCAATTGATGTTCATGTCTTTGATGCTGTGTAAAATCTATCAAATAAATAATTATTACTGATTTAAATGTTTAAAACAATTGAATTAATAAAATAATAAAAAAAAATTTATCTCAACACTTACAAGCCGATGATGAAAACTGTAATACTAAAGCGAATACACACAACTGACGCTGTAAATTACATGTCTGAGGCAAAAAAAAAAAAAAAAAAGAGAGAGAAAAAAAAAAAAGATTGTCAAATTTGCTTTTTTTTTTTTTTAAATTTAAAAAAAACATTTGTTTGAGGACTGCATAGATATAAATGTTGAAAGGGAAGAATGTTTGCTTTGATGTGTCTCGTTGTAATAACATGACTTTTCCGATTGCTTAAAATTTATATCAATGTAATTCTCTGTAATCACAAATTTATTTCAGCTCTACTTAAAAACCCAAATTCCACCCC